AAGATGAGTCAACCTATTTTCCAAAGCACCAGAAAGCAAGACAAGAAGCAATGAATGGAAACTAATGAAGGAGAGAAGCAACCTAGAACTAACGAAAAATTTCCTAACAGTGAGGATAATTAACCAGTGGAATGCCTTACCTTCAGAGGTTGTGGGTGTTTCATCATTATCATCATTAAAATGCTTCACCATTTTAAGAAGAGACTGGATAGCTACTTGTCTGAAATGGTATAGGGTTCTCCTGCTCGAGCAGGGGGCTGGACTAGAAGACCTCCAAGGTCCTTCCAACTCTGTTATTCTATGTTGAATAGCGGAGTCCATCTACCGCTGATCCAATGCCTGGGAATCAGCCAGGTCTTCAATGCCTTGTGAAAGGCTGATGGGATTGGAGTGTTCCCTTCCTTCTGCTGCTCCGTAGAGCAGATGTTGCCACTTGAGAAGGCATGATTTCATAATCCAGCAAGATGCCATTGCTTAATGGAAGGGACCTGGGCATGCCCTTGCTGATAGATTTGATGGGGCAGTCAGGAAAGAGAAAGGTGTTCCTCTAAGTAGCTGGTCCTATACCATGGAGGGTGTTATAATATTTGAATTGTACTTGGAAGTCCACTGTGAGCCAAAGCAGCAATGTTACATGAGCACAACAAGAAATGCAAAAATTGCCCACACCATTGCAGCATTCAATAAACATCTAATGAAACTATTGCTGATCACAATTTTTATGAATGTATAATCACAACATCAGTTGTAATCTGTTATCAGATGCTTGGCAACCTAAAACCAGATTACACAGGATGACCATCATGCTTAATATGGTCCATAATCTATGTCCTTGGGTTTAGTATTTTTTGCATCACTGTTTAACAAGGAAACAGGATGACAGACTGCACATCAGCAGGACATTTTCCAGTCTTTCAAATTGCAATTATATTATATTATATTCCTCAGCGAAGGTGACAAGAAAAGTTAGTATAGGTATCATTACACACTTCCAACTGCATTGGGGCAAAGAATGCAATGTGGATCTTATATCACTTAATGTTATAACCATTTGAAGTAGGAGCTTTTTTGTTCTCAGAGGTTTCATTGTATGTGTTATTTCTTGGAGCTAAAGAGGCATTTTAATTATTTATATGGTATAATCATTACTTTACAGCCCTCTGTTCAGCTTACTTCAGATGTCATGACTAAGATGGGAATCTGTATTTTACTCTACATAAGAGACAAAGTCCACTGATTTCAAAGCTGTCCAAGTAAGTCAGTTGTTTCTGTACATGCACTAGCAATTTTTTTTTTTACATATACGATACTGTTTCTGTCAGTAATCCTGGCATACACAATTTTTGTTGATCTCAGAACACTAGTGTAATTATAATACATTCTCCATTATGGTTTCAAAGGCATTTGTGAAGGATATAAAAGGATCTTGGTGTATGTTTGTTTTTGCAATTACTTTACATTGGTTTTGAAGGGCTCCAGAGCAGACAGAAAAAGAGAGTAAATCTGAGCTAAAATATTACTTACATTTGATTGACAAATTGCTCAAAGGTATTCATTACATACTGTATGTTTGTGAAGACCGTGCTATTAAAAAACCAACAGTGTCAGATATTTGTAAAATAAAGACTAACTGAAGAAATGTGAATTGCAGTGCAACTAAAATGTTAGCAGTAAAACAGAAACTTGGCAAGAAAATTGGAAAATGGCGAGGCAACACAACTCAGTGTAGCGGCGATGAAGTGGCATCTTTAGCAATTGTCATGTGGTCTTATTCCATCCAACATGGAAATAAGATCAGCAACTAACACAACAGCATAGCACATAAACACAAGCGTCAAAGCCAGTGATTTCATAAATGCCATAAGACAGCTAACAAACAAAGCCTTGTTGAAGGTTTAAGGAAGCTATTCAAGAAAATATTAAATGCACTAATCTACAAAAAAAGTCACTAATAAAACCTATGAAAAAGTAAATGACATTAAAAGCAGTCAAAAGAAAAACTTTAAAAAAAAACCTCCTGCTAAAGTCTATGGAAACACTGAACTGGAGGTCACTCAAATGACAGTAAAGGAACTGATCCCTCAAACTGGTCGCTTACCCAGGTCAGTCTATCCTCTCTAAGAACTAGTGAAGGTAGGGCATGGAGAATGAAAGGCATTGAAAAGATTGTCGTATGATTTCACAACCAGAAACAATTCAATAGCAGGTAGGCTGTAATGTTTTTCATGTCACTATTCAGGGATTAAAATTAGTGGAAAATTAATTTTCCACTAAAAATTAGTGGAAAAGAACATGTGATTCCTTCTTTTGCTTTGCAGCAAATGGACTTCAATACACTTGTGGACTGTCTTTGAAAGAAAATTAGGAAAACTCAGTATCATCCTTGTTTCCCAATATTTCAGTTCAATTCAAGGATTCTGACTTGTTGTAACAAATGCAGAATTTAGTCCCATGCTATAACTCTCAGGTTCCTTGCAACAATAAGATCATTATTTTGATTTAAATAGAACCAGAAACCCATAAAATAGCCAGTTTCAGTATCAAGTATGTATTCTCAGTCAGTGATAAGCCCTTACACCTTCTTCTATGAAAGTTGCTATACTTGATTACCACTGTAAGGAATATTTAGACAACATAAATTATGTATGTGGTAAAAATTCTGTAGGCAGATCACTCTTTTAATTTCCCAAAAACATTTGTCATGCAAGTTGTTTATTAGATTTTCAAATTGAATAATTCTTGTTTTATATGAACCAATCACCAGGATTATGGTTTTGTTTTGTTTTTTTAAAAAATGAAAATATATATTGTGAACCTCTGGTTTAAATTCTCAAATGTTGATACAAATTATCCGCTGAAATTTTTATCTGCATAAATCCGATCATTCTAAAATGTGTATTTCATAAAAAAGTGCTAAAAAAGTGAAAAGTTTAGCTTTGTTTTCATTTTCATTTTCCACAGATGAGGGATGGACACAGCAGTCTTTCTGCTTTGCTGCCAGATCAACAGATTCCTCTCCCTTCATTTTCTTTGCCATCTCAATTTCAGAGCTATGATAAATCAAGACCCTTGGCCAGTAATTTAGACAAAAAATGTCTTTTGCTTACCAAGTAAACAATCAAGAATTCAAAGATAAGAGTGATCTACGTCATAATGTCATAATTTAAAGATATTAAAATCAGTGGTAGGATTTGAATAACTTAACAACTGGTTCTCTGGCTGGATAGGTGTGGCCAGTTGGTCATGTGACTGGGTGGGTGAGGTCACTCATCACACCCAGCCCTGCCTCCCAGATACTCACCTCAAAGGCAGAGGTAGTTGGGGCTAATCCCGCCACTGGCCAACCTCACCCCATCCATTTTTCAGGCCAATTTCAGGGTGTTTTTTGAGCTGTTTTTGGCCTGAAAACAGCCCCAAATGGCTGAAAAATGAGTGGAGGCAAGGCCAGCCAGTGGTGAGATTTCCCGGTTCACCAAACTACACAGACTCTTAACTACTGGTTCTCCTGAACTGGTGCAAACTGGCAGCAACCCACCTCTGATTAAAATCCAACTAAACTGGAAACTAGAGGTTGAAAGAGGCACGAAATTCAAGCAACTAAAATTGTGTTTCAGATCTATTTAAGAACAGCTACCAATTTAAGCATCCCTGGGTGCTTTGTCAGATAGTCAAACTTCTAGTGATTGTTTCTCCATGAATATTGCAAACCATACAGAGCATCAAAGAAGACAGCAACATTAATATCTGACCATTTCAGCAGATAATTTGCTCTGCCAAGAACTAAAGGAAAAGAAAAGCAATGGTATTAAGAACCCAAGAAATTGACTTACGATGAGTAAGACCATGGTTTTAATTAACTTGGTTTATGCTGATTGGTTGCAGTTCATCAGAATTTTAAACAAAAACTCCTTTTCAGATATTCCTGATATACCAAGAATTCAACCTGGACTTTCTATTTTACAGCATAAACTTTGCCACTTAGCTATGGGGCTTTGGGACAAAGGCTGAATCCTCTGAACATGTTAAAAAGAGAGAGAGAGACAGACATACAGAGATATTCACTGAACTGTAATACAAAATATATTTGTATTGATCAGCTTGTACTGCTTTGAAGAATGGCAATGTTACTCTCAGAACAAAGTAAGAATTAAGCAATTCTAACAGTACTTCCCTGGCTTGTTCATTTTCCCCCCACAATTGTTGTAGCAGCACTCACATTGTCAGTGTAGTATTGACAAAAGAAGACCTTTTGGTCTTTAAGATTCACTCAATGCAGTTTAGAAGACACTAAGGTGATGCAGCTATTGCTCTTCAATCCTGCAAAGGTTTGGACTGTAGTAAGCAGCAGAATAGCGAAAAGGTGAAAAGATTCTGTTGACTTAGGTATATGTGCTATTACAATTCTTTGAAAACTTTGTTAGAGAAAGTATGCATCAAGTAAATAATACCTTGGGCATTCATGTATAAATCAGTACATATCATCTCTGACAATTACTAAGAATAATTGCATTTTGAGACTAGGAATTTTATGTAAGTATGAAACCTGATTCACATTCTTCTCATCATAATCCAATATCCTTACCATACTAAGACTATCCTGCATTGCACAATGCCATACCTCCACCCCCCAAAAAGGAAGACACTCTAGTCTGATTGTAGATTATGCATATACTTTAGAAAAGGTCAATACCATTATCTCAGAATACAACATTTTTAGAAAAGCTCTTGCGATAAAATATGTAGAACATCCTTTTCTTGAATCTATACTTGAGGGTTTAAATCATAGGAAAGATTTCTGTCTATGATTCAATAAATCTACTTGCAGTTAGAATCAAGATGCCAGTTTAGTTGAAGCTACTGTGTGTTGCTTTAAAGCAGATAGCTGCATATCTTCAAAATGGATTGTTTATGTTCTTAACATGTATATTATGTTATTAACAACAGTGAAGGAGATTTCCTTGGCACTTCAAAGCACTGCACATTTTATAATTCATAGGTACCTGTAATATCTGTTTGATCATCATCAGTTTCTACCGCTGCTGCGGCTGCTCTGTTTTTCTTCTCCAACTCTTTCATTTCAGGCACGTAGAAGTCCCCTTGACGTGCAAGGGGGCATATAAAATAGATTTTATTTCCTTTGTAGATCTCCAGTCTAGGATGGGCGCATAGTTTCCGGTCCTAAAATAGATAAGGCACATAGCATTAAAGATATATTTTTCTCTACCGCTGTGTTACAATTAGTAAATGCATCCCTGAACACTCTGTCCAGATTAGGAATTGCCAGGTTGTCGTTTCTTGGTATTCCAGGGTGATGTTCCCATCTTTAACATGAATGCTATGATATATTCAGCCAATCCAATGTTCTTTATCATTTTCAGACACCATGAGATCAAATTTATAAGTGGTTCAGCATCTTGTGAAAATGGGAAAGGGCTTTAAGGCTCTGAAATAAAACATATAACCAATTGCAAAGCATTGAGAGTGCTTAGCAGATCAATGAACTCCTTCGAGGAGCTGATCCATATTTCGTTGTGCTAAATTATACAGCCCCTGCTTTGAGCACCATTTCCAAATGGTGTGAGATTCATTTCAGAGAGACCATATGACATACGGCAGTGGTTAAAAAAAAAATCTGAGAAAGATTTCAGTCTGATTCCACTTCTAAATTATTGTAAGAAAGGCGTCATTCATTAAAGTTTCTGCATTTTCTCTTCCTGGTTTATCTATAAGCCTACTCCAAGCTCAGCAGCTTTTGGAAAAGGCCAAACGTTAAATGGCAGAGAATTATATTTTTCATATAGAAAGACCATCGAGTCCTGATATATTGTGGAAGGAGAGGAGAGAGGAGGGCAGGGAGGGGAGGAGATCTGAGATTCTTGAGAAAAAATAATATATGTAGCTCAGGAGTCCTAGATACTCTCTGAGGCTGCTTGTTTGCTTGCAGACATTTCCTTATCCAGCTAGGTAAGATGCCCAATCCTTCCACTGTGAAATCCTTGGGAGAGACATCCAGAAGGACTTGGTTATTCTTTACTCACTGAAAGTGCTAATCGAGTTTGTACATTTGGGTAAATAAAACATGAATTAATCTAGGTAAAAATATCTTAATCATTTTCACTGTCAGCTAACCTACTAAAATTATCATACACTGATTGTTGGGAGGGCATTATATTAATAATCTAAAGCACTTTAATTTATTTTCTAATACAGTACAATCACAACAAAACAGACTACCATCTGTGAATGGAATATAATGTCATAGGGTCCCGCTGACTCCTCCCTGAAAAGTAGGCACAGTCATTTCATTAATTTATGTGAGGTCTTTCAGCAAGAGACATTGTGCAGTCAGTCACTTCTTTGAGCCTAATGCAGTTAGCTGTATTTTCAGCACTTTCACTTCAAAGTCCTTTGGGTTTCTTCACACAACATCCCTGGCTTGTTTTACAATCCCAAAGGAAGCATTTCTAGAAGGACAGCAGCAACTCCTGCCCTTTGAATGATACATTAATATTCATAGACATACAGTAGTTGACAAATATGGTACTGCCACTACTGTCCAGTTCTCCTCATACATTTGTATGCCAGATGATAGGTATATTGCCCACTCCTGCTCCCCGTTCCCTTCCTATTCCCACCCCAAAACTATTGTTGCACTATTCTTAATTTTATGTTCACATAAATGAAGAAAAAAAAACAGCCACAATATGTACCATCTATGTCAACAAAGACTGTCATTTTACACAGGCTGTGTCCAATCTTTAATCTAGTTTCTGAAATACAAATTACACTAAACTTCCTCAACCATCTATCACCCTTGAACTGTAGAGAATAAAACTGCCGAAATTCCAAGCCAGTATGGTCATTTTGGAAATCCTGGAACATATGCCAAAGGGTTAGGGTTAGGGTTTTGGTCTTCCCCACCAGCAATCAACACCCAAATGAGCATACATTAACACCAAGATTAACACCAGACCAACAATTAAGAAGTAAACAGTACCCCAATCAAGGAATGCCAAACAAGCCAAACAGAAAACAGCCCTCCAAGACCACTTCCACTAACATTGACAGGAAAGCCACTGGAATATAAATTGAGAGCAAACTTCATTCCCTACTAGCACTCATGATTTTGCTTACTTTGGGTAATGAAAAGTCTGCAAGAAAACAACCAAGCTCAGTGATCCCTGTTTTCAACCATGAGCTATAACTTCTCCTTTACTGAACTCACACTGAAAATATAAGCTGCTAAAAATCATGGCTCTCAATGCCACATATCATAGTATTTTCTGAACTGGCCCAGGGGGTTAGAAATAGGGGCACTGCTCTTTGATAGTTCTCCTTCTCTCATCTGAGGTTAGTTCATTCAGTGTTGATAAGGAAAGAGAAAGCCAAGCTTTGGGACTCTGGTTTGCAAGGTGCCTCAGGGCTTGACCCTTTTTTCTCTATTCCTATTTAAAATCTATATGAAACTGCAAGGTCGAGTCATGTGCTGGCATGGGTTGTATCTAGCAGCATAATCACAATATCACTGATACCTGAAGTGCACTTAATTCCAGTAAATTTCTGAGTGCAATTCCAGTTTCTAGTTTATTACCTACGTGGCACAAGGCTAAGATACTTGATGGATTGCCTGTGTCTGATGGCTTCTGCTTATTCCACCAGGACCAGAAGGGTAAGTATGCTCCAGATGCCTTCCATGAAAACAGAGCCACTTTACAGAACTTAGAACCAATATTTCTCTGTTGTGGCACCTGACCCATAATCTTTGGATGGCCACATATCCGTTCTGGAAGGCTTTAAAAATCTGCCTTTTCCCTCAGTTTTTAGGGATAGATGGTTTGCATTTTTATCCTGTGCTGACCGGGTCCGTTTTTTTAACCTAGTATCTTTTATTGTTTTTTTAAATTGTTTTTATCTGTATATTTCTATTTTTATGCTTGCTAGCTACACTGAGTTATCTAATTAGAATGGGCCGTTGTATAAAGTCATATAAAAGATTAATAACTTCCTATGGTCAGCATTGTTTAATGTGTTCTTTTTTACTTTGCTTACTTTTAATGTTGATTTTGTTTTCAAATAATAAGCCATCCTCAATTTTTGGGACAAAGTGAATCATATAAAAACAAACTGTGAGCAAAGATGGAATGTTTATACTTTCAAATATATTTTCTTCACCAGCTGACGAACATAACCCTTGATAATATTTTCCTCTGTTCTTCAGCTTTTAAAACATGTTCATGCTAGGAATCAAGTCCTTATTTTTCTCTTCTCTTCTCTTTTCTTTCTTTTTTTTTGGCAACTCTGGAAAATGGATGTTATGACCCCATTCTCAATGCACTCAGCAGTGTTGATCCAAGAGAATGCCAGCTAGTGCTTCTAGCAGGAACTTGCCAGTGATGAAGTCCCTGCTTTCAGCATGAAGAAACAACTCCTATGAGCTGTTTCTTGCTCAAAGCTTCTGCAAGTTATTAGTTCTGAAAACACAGATAAAAGAAGTTATTTCTATGATTTTTGTTAGCCACCCATAGTCGCACTTTTAAGAAGAGCAGCCATATAATTCTATTAAGTAAGTTAGGTAAGTGGGGAGGAAATGGCTATAATCGATTATACCTTGTTTTTCCTCTACCTATGTGTTTAGACAGAGTTTCAAATTTTAACAGCGTTCTTGGTTTTATTAGCAATGCCACACTTCTACCTGTTGCCCACTAAATAAGGAGAGGGGATTGGATGGCAAAAATGTGAATTAAAAAGAATCCTGAAACACAGAAGATCAAAGAAGGTAGGCTGTAATATACAGGGAATGGACTTTGCATTGAATTAACATCTGGCTGTTTAATGAACACCCACACCCTTCCCACTACCATCTGCATGGCTCTGAATGCATTATCATTTGCACAAAATGTACATCTGAGGATTGTTGGTGAGTTTCCTTATGAAAAAGCAAAGAGGTGGGAAGGAAGATTAGTTTCTCCTAAATAAATAGCAGAGTGTGGCAGACTTGTTGTCCTCAAATAGCCTCTACTGATCATAGTTCAACCAGTATGCTAGATATAACATGCTTCTAGTCAAAAACCACGAGAAGCAAATTTTCCAATACACGAAGTCCAGAGTTAGCTGTGCAGTTTTGAATTAGCAGTAGAAGGATGTGAAAATGAAAAGAAAAATAAATTAAATTGCAATTTTTTTTTACCATGTCTCAGTAGAAGGAACAAATAACTTAATGTTTCTAAATAAATGAATGGCTGATAACCATTCAAAGCAGCCATTTTTGGGATAGCCTTCTCAGTATTCATAGTGTCTTCCCTCTTCGTCTCTTGCTGTCACTTTGTTTTCTGCAATGATGGCAGTACAGTCAGCTCGAGTTTCATCCATCATAAGGCTGCATATGTAATAAAAAGAACCAACTTCTTTTTCACTTGTAGGGGAGCCAATTTATTTCAATTTCCAGAGACAGGAACAGCATCTTTGACCTCTGCTGTCTGGAAGAAGTGGACCTACCTTCTTGCAAACAACCACTTAAATGCCTCCTATTGAGATTTCCCTATCATATAATGCCTGTAATCCTTCCTGAAGAATTGCATGAAGAATTAAATTAAGACCTTTGAAGTGCACAAAGTTGGGAAAGTCTAGTGTAAAGGTTTGAGTTAGACATCACTCCTTCTTGCCAGGCATGTGGGAGACACTTTTGACATGATGGGATCATACATTTTTGCATCGTCCCTTGAGCTTCTCGAAGTCGTTTCAAAATATAGAGAACCAATTTTATTGGGAACTCAACATGTGTAGATTTTATAAGTACTACTCTTTTTTAAATAAAAAAAAAAGTATGTACATTTAATGTTATCAGGTGAATGATCCTGCAAATCAGTAGATACCAACTGACTGCCTATCAAAGAGCAGAAGCTCATTTAATGTTCCTTGGGGAAACTGAGAGCAGCAGATGATGCAAATTGGTGGGGCCACATTGCATGTTTGAGCAGGACTGAAGATTTTTTTTTAAGGGGAATTGCCTTTTTTAATCTAGTTAACTTATTTTAGAGAATGCATTATAGGTTTTATGGCAGAAAACTGTGTTGCTGATTTTGCTATCCTGGACCTCTAGAGATAACACACACACACACACACACACACACACACACACACACACACACACGCACACAGGCTCAGGACTACATTTAGCC